TTTTTTGGGGGAACCAAATCACAAAGGAACAATTTCCTTTTTTATAATCATAAATGACTGCAGGAAAGATTTATTAGCTGTGAAAATGTCATGGATAAGCAGTGGTCGGTGCTAAAAACCTTTTTGCATTAAGTAAGAGTATTTTAATAAATTAATCAATCTTTATTGATCTCACATTGGAGAAAAATTTTCTCTGCATTTAACCCTTCCCCATTGGGAGCAGTGGGCTGGCATTGAGCAATCGGGCGTTAAAGGTATTGCTCAGAGACCCAGATTTGCAGTCTGTGGGAGTGGGTCTCAAACCCAGAATCTCAGGATTCCAAGCTCTATGCCCTACCCGCTAGGCCACCACTTGAGCTTATGCTAATAAAACCAAATGAAAAAAAATATTCACATAGTTATTCTAACTTTCCAACCCACACCCTGCTTCTGATGATGTATCAAGTGCAAAAAAAAAAAAAAGCCATAGAGCACAATTTTTTAAGCACAACCCACCAAGAACAAAAATAACCATGTGTGAAAATATATAAAAAGTGTGTGGTAATTAGCTAATTCATTCTGATCTATAATGAACTCATCAACTTTAAAGCCTCAAAACACACCTACAGTACATACATTGAAATGTGACTCAATTAATTTTTTTCACCCTTATTTCTAATCTTTTTCAGCTAACTCTGCTCAGCATCTGTCTGTCTGCAATTTGGTCCTGAAGAGGAGAACTTTTCTTCAGCCTACTAAACACTGTTTTCTTTGGTTCTGGTGTCAATGATGATCAATTTTGGATTATTTTCTTTGTACAATTTCTTAGTAACTTACAATCACTGACTACTATTCCTTTCCAACTGTGTTGTGTTTATTTTGTTGCGCTTTTTAATTTTCCATCTATGTTGCTTTGGGTTTTCTGACATGTAGATGTCAATTTCTTGGTCTACCGACATGTCTCTGCCCCTTATTGTTTTTTTTTCAACCAAGACAATGTTTGTTTTTTTACGTATTGATTTGCTCCTTTGAAGGAGTTTTATAAACGATAGCTATCTTTTTGGGTTGTGTTTTACGTCCATGAGAAATGCAATAATGCAAAAGCTCCTAAGGCCTGCAGGTAAACTGTTACCAGCAGATTAATTTGCAAAGCTAAACTTGTGCAGGTTTTAATTTTGCATAAGTTAACTTGAGGGCGATTCAATTTTGTTAAATATTTTTCCTGCTTGACCTGAGATTAACTGTTTCTTTTTGTGGATATGGTCTCAAAAGTTAGAATGTGTAGGAATATTTTAGATATTAATTTCAAATGTACCTCATATCAGCGCTTTGCTTTGTTTTTGCCATCTGAATCAGTTATGATTCCCAACCCCCATCACCCTAACATGGTGAGCACAGGTTAAAAAGAGCAACTCTACACTGGAGCTGGTCTCTGGCTCAGAAATCCCGATTTAATATGCAAAGGTCACAACAGAAAGGTACAATGCTGAGGGCTGACAGGACTGTTTGGCAGGAGGTTTAGGTTAAAGAGGAGGCAACTGTAAATCTTAGCGCTTTGTTAGTAAATCATTGATTGTGAACGACCAAAAGGTAGGCCACTGTGCAAATGCTGCCTGCATGGACAAGCCTGAACCTGAGCATTGTGAGTGGATCTGATCCTGCAAAATATCAGCTGTTTCTGGTAAATTCTTCCCCTAAAATACACAGTTGTGGTTGCTTAGTTGTAAAAACCAAACAAAAAAAAACATGGCGCATAAGTTTGTTGCATCATAGCTGTTGGTAACTTCAGTTCCAAACCAGCTTGTCAGCTTTTCACTTGGGTGTGTACAACAGGATATGTGTATACGTTTTGATCAAATTGTATCTCATGATTAAAATACGAGTAGTTATTTCACACACTATTATTTTAAAAAGGCAGTAAGAAATAAATTTACCAAAGAAAAGATTGCAGCCAAAAATTGCTGAAATCTTACGACTTTGAGTATAACAGATTGAAACCTTAAGTCAACAAACTCAAAACAATTAACGTCTTTGTAAAGGTAGACCGATCTCTCATTGCAAAACATTTCAGTGACCACAAAAAAAAAAAAAATTAAATCAACAGATTAATTCTATGTTGTGCTTTACCTGTGAAACGATTGCATTTTGGATTGAAACAACAGTGCCAATGTAGAATTTAATGTAATATGCATGTTAAATACTTTGTCATATTCTTTCATAGTGAATTCTAGATTACTTAATGATAAATTTAATCTATAAACCTCTTAGGTTCGTAACTAAAAAGACTAAAAAACTGGGTTAATTTTGAAAGGAGAAATTTTGAAATATTTCTTACTTGGTTTGAGTCTAAATAGCTGGTTCCTTTGGGTATCAGCTTTTTTTTTAATGGTTGTACTAAGCTGAGGTTCCAAATGAGCCTCAGGCTGACTGATTCTAGGGGATAAGTTGACAACAAAGACTGACAGACACTGATGGGTTAGTGGTTTAAGTGACAGGAGGACACTGTTGCAACTTAGCGACTTTTTTTAGACCCCTGCAATATTTTTTTTTCTACAAAACAAAAAGAGACTAGAAAAAGGATTGAACACTTTTTGAGTTTCTTGGTGATTCTCTAATCACTCAGCACTTAATTCAATGAGTACCACTGTGAGCTCCCACCACTTCCAAAGCACTTACAGGTGTCTCTCAGCAGCCTCATCGTGCAGAAAACTGCCTGCATTTAAAGCAAAGAGGAGACCAACTTTACTCAATTTCTGCATAGCAAACATTTCATGCATGAGCAAAACTAATCTCACCCTGGGTGTGATCAGCTGCAGTTTGTATACATAACAAAGTCGCTGTGACTTTTAGGAAAGCAATATTTTCAGGCCACCTTGCTGTGACAGTCGAACCCACATTAAAGAAGTAAGCCATTGTAATGATAAAAGACCCTAATTGTGTTGACTTGACAAAAACTCATTTGTGCTTTAGCAAATACTAATGGAAAACAGGCAAGACTTTTCTAATATAACATTAAAAACAGTCATCTTGAAAAAACTAACTTATTTTTAATAACCTGTAAATAAGATATATCTGAATGAATAATATCAGAGGTGCAAGCAGACGTGCCTCCAAAGGCTAGCCTGCTTGTTTTGAGCTTGTAATTTACTTGCCCTGCTGAAAAATAAATGTGCTAAGTGTACTAAAATTTAGCATACTTTTGTGTACTTGAAGGCACACTAATCATTACTATACTTTAAGTGTGTTTATGATTAGTTAACTTGAAGGATGCTATTTTGGAACAACTAATTTTGTACTAAATATATTTTAATTGTAATTAAATTGTGGACAAGCTCAACTTGAAGTGTATTTAGTGTACTTTGATGTGCTAAAGTGGAACAACTTAAAGTATATTTTGTATACTTTAAGTATATGAGTTTATATGTACTAATATATGCTTAATTAGTCAAATTAAAGTGCACTATGGTTGTATTATAACTACATTAAAAATGATTTGTTAGTGTCTTAAAAATATATAAGCTTTATACTTTTAATATACTCTTACTGTGGTAATAATATGCTTAATTATACTGTTGGCTTATTCCAATTAATTAAAAAAGCATACTTTGCAGTTAATAGTAAATATACTTTATCATTACATTGCTATACTACTTTCTACCTTGCACATTCTTGCAAATGTATTAACAGTATACTAAATGCTGAAAGACTTGTGGATATACTTCCGTGCAGATGAAAAAATATACTTTAATGTATTTGAAACATGTCCAAATTATAGTACATTACCAAATAATATAACTTGTACTATCTCAGAATGTATAAACATTTACATATCGACGTTAACCATTTTCATTATAAAACTTACAACACATTTTCAAATATTGGTACTTTAGTACACTTTGTAGAAATATGTCAATTTCAGGCAGCAGACCTAAACATTACAAATAAACTTTAAAGAAACGCAGAGGAATACTGAACAATGAAAAACAACATTCCTTATTATTGCACCCCTAAACCCTCGCACCATACAAAAACACGCCCACCACACATTATTTTCCTTTTTTTGGCTGAACTGCTCATTGTTACATTTTCGTCTGATGGCCGTGCGCACATCAGAGACACTTGTCTACGGAAAACTCCAGAAGAACAGCGTCTGTTAACCAAACAGAGAGATACTGTAAATTCATAGTATTTTTGAGCAGTACATCAGAAAAGTCTGACAAATTGTATCAGTATGATATACCAGGGTCCATAAGTGCACCAGAAAAAAAAAATTGTCCATTTCAGTTGAATTTAAATAAATCTGATGCATCAAGTGGTTTTATCAGATCTGATCAAAAAAAAATTAAACAAAGTAACAACAAAAATTGTCAGAGATCTCAGAAAAGAAAAAAATTATGAATCCGCAGAAAGAAAGGGAAGAAAAATCCTTAAGTTTCCTTGTTTTTTCCTACCACCCTCCAGGGAACCGGATGGCATTCACATTGGGAACATTCTGCATCAACATCTCTGGTGGAGTCTAGTCCAGTCCATACAATGAACCGCTCAGCTGTAACAGCAGATTCTGCAACTATGTAAAAAAAAAAACAGCCTGCACACAAATGTGCAGAGCAATTACTTCAATTGGAAAATAAATCATGTAATCACCATAATATAAATTGGTTTTTACCAACATTTATACAGACAAAAATATAAAGTAAAAATTATCAATTTACATGTGGTTCACTGTCTAAGAAATCATTATGGTCAGTAGTCAATACTTGTATCTGGAAAAAACAATCAGGACACCTATGAAGGGTTTAATTTTACGTTAACCCCTTGTGGGGGTTTTACAGCAACATCACACAAGATGTAGCTAGCTTGAAAGTGCATTTTCTTTTTTAGAAGAGCACATGGGGGTGTGTTAGCCTCCTTCTCACTGTGCTAATGCATTCAATAAATCAAAAGAGCTAGTAAAATTACATATATTACAAAACATTATATCCTGACTGGTTTTACATCTCAAAAAATATATATATTTCATTCACAGGTTCATGTGAACTCACCAGGATATTCTTCAAAACACATAATACAGCAAATCTTCCTGCTCAAACCGATTACATCTCCTGTTTCTACAATACAAATATAATAATCAAAATCGCGTTTTATACAGATATCTTAAGATTTCAAAACCAAATGGGAATGTTTTGAAAGTTACCTCTCTCCATGCAGACCAAGGCCTTAAAAGAAAAGCACGCTACCTGAGCAGGGAGGAGCCGTGACTACTGCTGTGCAGGTGTGGTGCATTCAAAGTCTATGGGAATTCTGATATCAGTACTGAACCAAAAACTCCCCAAGACTAAAATTCTTGGGAGCTACTACTTTACAGACATCAAGGCCAAACAACTCCACATATCACTCCTATATGCATGAAGTGCTGTCAGCGACTTTTAAATATGTGCACTCACCAATTGGTCTTGTTTGCAGTAGCCCTGCTTTGATCCATTAAACAATACTAATGAAATGTTCTTTTTTGAACACTTGAGACAATTGTAATGTGTTAAGTTTATTTCTTTTGCATTTGGCCAGTATTAACTTTTCTGTTGCAATGTGGGTTATGCTATTTGTTAGATCATAATGTAGCACTGCACCAGCTTTAAACCACTTGCTTTTCAGCAGAACACACCAATTTTGTGCACCTGTACTTTTGAAGTGAACATTTAGTGTTTTTGTTCAATGTGGTTTTGTGTGTAAGATGTATTGTATCATATTTCTTTTTCAAAACTTATTAAACATTACATAACAACTGCAATAATTGCTATCTGTGTACTTTACACACAGCACAAAATTGCATAATAGGGTTTAAGTGCATTTTTGTAGTTATACTATTGAACACTTTCCAAAAGAATTACCTGAAGTACAAGCGTATATAACTTCACTTCATAAATTAGATTCAAATGTAACTTAAAAGCACTCAAACTTAATATTACAGTGTCGATATTAAAATGTGTACTTTTAAAATATGCTTTCAATGTACGTTACAATGACAACTTTGAGCATACAATTTAAATATACAAAAATATATGTAAAAACAAATTTACACAATACGTACACTCTTACAAAATACACATAACTTTCCATTAACGTATCCTTTTTTAATATACAAATTTCTACACAAAGTGTAACATAAGTAGTAATTACAGTTAGAAGTGCGCGTTAAAAGTATTAGCATGAAAGCGTAACAGTTTAGTACACTAATTTATTACAATAAATTTACAAAAAGTACAATTTGTCTCAAGTACAAATTTCAGTAACTATAGGAATATGAATAATCTTTGAAATACAATAAAGCACATTTTTTTTTTACCAGGGTGTGACTGCATAAACACAATAATCACAACGATTTGTGAACATAAGGGCTTAACCATTTAAACAACTGTGTTTACGTAACTTGTCGGACACGATGATCCCAAAATGCACCATTTACCCATAGCCATTCCAAGTGCCATACTTTTTCTTTTTCTCAGTTTTAAGAATAACTTAAAAGACAGTTTGATGTTAAACATGCTTCAAAACACCATTTTTGTGAATGTGGATCATTTTAAAACAGACCAAACACAACCCACTTGAGCATCACACATAATGCCAATGCTTTGGGCGTGCGGCCTAGTGTTTACGGAGCATTGACTTGAATCTCTGAGGTTCTAAGGTTCAAAGCCCCACGCTCCGACAACGGCAAGACCTGCCACTTTGGCACCCACGCGGCAAGGGCGACAGATAGCGTGATACGTCAGAGATGTGTCTGCGCGACGTACACAGATTCGAAATAGACCCTTCAATCCGTCCCCCCACTTGTATTAAAAAAACAACAAAACAAAACACAAAAAAAACACATACGACACAACTCACAGAAAACACAAAAGACTTTTTCAATAAACATTACTGCTTTGCAACAACAACATAAAAACATTACAGATCTAAGACGGGCAATCTAATTTATGTATTAAACTGCAGCTGCTGCTCCGAAGAGATTCTTAACAACATAAACGTTATCCTGTCTCTGACGTTTACGTCTTCTGTAGTTCTTCTAAGGTTTCCAATGGTTACTCTGACAGACAGTAGTGGCGGACAAGTTCCCAATATCCGAGACCCATCGCGACATCAACATAAGAGCTGCCAGCCAAAACCAGAAAAAACTAGTCATAATCACTTGCAATCCTTATTTTCGAAAGCACCACACGTAAATAAACTGGATTCATACATATCACATGCATATTTATTTAGGTTGTCTGTTCGTATGATCGCCGTGGAAAAAAGAGTAGAGACGGTCATGAGAAAGCGTGAAGCAGTTGCCAATGTTATTCAAGGCGAGGAGGCGCAGGGGAATACGGACACTGGCATCTACATTACTTTTATAAATATAATACGACTGTATACACGAACACATTTTCATGGAGTGTTGTTTGAGGAACACTATTACAAGAAATGTGTAGGCTAGACAGTAGGCTAACATTGAACACCGTAATATTAATTCCAAGAACCAAATGGTTAGTTGTTACAAGGTATGACCATGAGAACACAACAAACTTCAAAGCTATACACAATTCACACTACACGGGGCGGAAATTTAAGAATTCTGGGGCCCATAGGCACAAGACAGCACGGCCCTCTGAATTGGAAAGGACAACATATAGAACAGACAACCATTATTACAGATACAGAAATTATTAATAAATAACAAATTTGAGAACTGTCATGTACTTCAATTTGTACTAATGTCACTGTAACTCGAGAAAGAACTCCTCTCTCATATATAATATATATATATATATAACATAATTATAGAATGTTGTTTGATAGTATGATGTGTAGTATAATATACAATAAACACAGCTGCATGTTCACAGAAAAGACATAAGATGTTACAATAGGACAATTGCCTTACAACACGAACAGAACAGTAAATTATTTGATACACTATATAACGTGGCCCTATAGCCATCCACTATGTACACAATAACACACATATTATGCAATGTTATACAAAGCTGACTAAAACATAAGTGAGACGTTGATCAATAACTTCCTTATGTTTTTTTGAACAGTATAAATTTAATTATAAAAGGACTAAAACACCCTGAAAACAACTTATGGTATTTTTTACAGACAGTTAAAAGATACCTGCGAGAGTTTTACTGAAACGGGACTACTGAGCGCAACTGACACTTAGAAGTAATGAGCGAACTGGAAGTGCACTGCGATACACGCTCCAAAAAAGCCCCCAGGACATTGGAGCATGGTCTCTGCAGCTCAGTTTGTCCAAGAAGATTACGGGACAAAAAAAGCCAGCCCACTTTGAGCAGGCTTTATAGGAACAACACAGTGGAAGATGCGACTGAGAAGCACGTCTCCTAGAGCCCATTGCTCCTCTATCTCGAACACATAGGCCATCCCAAAGAGATATTCTGGGACACACGCACCTGCACACAGAGCCAGACAACACTGCTGATGGCCAGTACCACAAGTGGAGTTCTACAGAGTCCTGACACACATAGACACAAACAACTTTCTTCATTATGAGGCCATTTATTGTAAGCCATGTAAAATACATTATTTACAAACTTTAGGTTCATTGTATAATGTTAAAAGGACTTTGCTGTACGTGATTTTCTGTTCTGTTTACAGCCTGCACATTAAAGTCAGATCCATTTTAAATAAAACCAATTTTTTTTATCACACAGTCCAGTGGCATGTCTTCTGAAGTGGGGTACTTGTAACCAATACATGTTATTCTCTTGCAATACACCGGGCAATTCTATGACCTGCATAGGGTATGACATAGCTTGAGTAATTAGCCCTAATAGGGCCTCGGGATCCACGTTGCACTAGACAACGATTCGCAGCAAATAAACTGACTGCTACGACAAAAAACGAAGCATAGCTCTGACACAAACGTTGTGTTGAAAGAAGAGAACCAAGAAGATAGAAGAGCAGAAAAGATGTTAAAATCCGAAAAAGGATCTAGGAATTTACCGGGGCAAACATTTAAGTTAGACACAACCAGGACACAACCGGTATGGATGTCAAACTCAGCATTGTTACAACATTACTGGATCCCATATAAAGTCCAAACACATGAGTGGGAGCACCGTTGAGTGAGCGCCTAAAACATCACAAAACATTCAAGCTACAAGTCTTGGAGTCTCATGTGCAGTCACAGAATGGATAGGGTTCAGAGCTGCAGAATCTAAAAGCCAGCAAACACATGCGGACACACCTAATCCGTACAAGTAGCAATTGATCCAACGGGACTCTGGATCCGCTAAGTTTAGCAACTGCGTAACCAGCGCAAAGTGCCTAACAACCACTCACGCATGTACAAGGCAACTATTATAACTACTGGCTAAAAGTGTTTCAAAGATGTAGACAAAAAAACAAAAAAAAAAAAACAAAAATAAACAAAAAAAATAAAAAAAACAAAAAAAAAAAAAAAAACAAACCTAAATTAAAAACTAAAAAAAAAACCATAAAACCAAAAAAAAAAAACACAAAAACACAATTAGTAACCGTTAACTGCCAACCCCTCACGGTTTCTCACCTATTTGAAGCATATTTCCGCTGCGTTTTATATATCTTCCCGTAGAACAGAACCCAACTTGAGAGAAAGAAACAAATAAAGGCTATAAAATAACAACCGTAGCACTCTATTAACTTTAACCAGAAGGAAAATGCAGGCAACACTCTCCTACAAGACATTGACATACGTGAGAAGTCTATTCGGAAGAAAAATAAAAACATCAAAAAGCGAATCGAGCTAACGCTTCGAACCCAAGGCATAGCCGAACGACTCATTTATCTCGGATGCTGGTCTCCATGGTTTAAGCCTCCAGTCAGAAAGCGTGGAAAGTTTAACAATTTTCTCTATGATTGTTCACACATGGAGCGACAGATGTGTTGAGCTCTAGTTACAGCCCACAATACAGCAACGGTTATACCATAGTGATGAAATCAGCTTAAGGTGAAAATTAATCAAATTAACACAACGGGTTTATTGGAGAGGGAGTACAACACATGATAGCGAGATAGTCTAATAGGCAGATTAGTATGAGCCCTTTAAAAGACGCATTCAACATGGCGGGCGACAGCGAAGACACTTACATCACGACACCAAGCCCTATAGACAACTGTCCCCAACCACAGTTTCAGACAACCTAATCTGTGCCCCTGGCCCCCGGGTGCAGCACAATGGCATCCCACTGCTTTCCCCAGGGGAAGGGTGAAATTCAGAGAGTTAATTCATTTGGCTCTGTACATGTGACAGTTAATGACAATTAAAACACTGGAAGAATATATATATATAGTTCCTGTTCACAGACATTTTAGGTTTACTGTTCCAAACATCTCAATGTAGAGGATGAGAGTCTCCTATCCAAGTCTCTCCCCAGGTGGATCAAGCTCACTCATCCATCTCTAAGGGCGTGCCTACCCCCCTGGGGAGAAAGCGTGATATTTTTTCAGCTGCTTGTACCAAGATCATCCTCTTTCGTCATGCGTCATATCTATGAGGTGATAGTGAGGGTAAGGACCAGTAATTAAGAGTCTTTACCATTTTGCCATACTCTCTCTTTACCAAAAAAAACTGGTATGGTAACTAACACATCCCTGACCGATGGCTCCACCAGACGAACCAGCAGACACCCTCACAACTCACTTGTGCCCCCGCTGTAATCTGTCCAATTCCTCCACTTCCAGCGTATCCCAGCTGGGGACGTGACAGCTCCTCCCCTATCTAACCCGACTGTCTTAGCACTTGTGGCCGAAGTTCAAAGATATACAACAAAGTCAATCATTCAGACCTCGACCTAGGGTGTCCCCTGGTGACAATAGCTCTGATTGACGTCAAGGGCCTTATATGAACTGGCCACAGAAGTCCAACATAATACCAACTTTGGTTCAAATTTGGGGTCCTTTCCTCTCAATCACACCCCTCCCGGTCTCCCAGTTCATTTCCCATGTGTATGTTTAAAGTCCCCCAGTGGTTTGATTCCCTTGAAGTAGCACTAATCATACAGTTTTGGGTATTTTATTAGTCATCAGAAGGGAGTTTTGAACCTTTCTTTCCTATCACCCAGAGATGTGTCCTTAGGACACTACCAGGGCAATTAAGCTCCAGGTCAACATAGTTTCTGGATATCCAGGCTCTGAATCCCTCCACCATGTTAAGATCGCGGTTCAAGGAGGGCAGGTCTTACAACTTACAATTTAATAAGTATGGATAAAAAAAGAAACTCTGTCATAGAAAACGTTTTGTTACTAGCCTGCAAAACTCTCAACCAAATACCGTCAAACACAATTTACTGTTTCTCTGCACAAGCAAATAAGGAAAAGTTTCGGACATATTTTTGGACGGAAAAGCAAACAGCAAGGCATATGGTAAAGAAAATCAAACATGCACAGCTTTAACATATGTTTTCCTGCACATAGGAAAATAATACATTTGAAATCCATACCTACTGTGAGACAAACTGGAGGTAAAACATGATGAAAAGTAACATATATCAATACGCAAAGTTTGTAGATATTTTTTGTGATCACATTCCCACCCCATTTTACATATAAATAACGTATTCTAACACGTGGAGTCATCCGCGTCCAACAACTGTTATTTCCCTTTGAACACTACACATGAAAATAGGAACTTATACATTAAAAATGTCTACATTTTCACCTTTATTTTGACATACTTCTAATTTATACACCTCAAAACACAAACCTAAAGAACATAGAGAAAAAAAGACAGAAATCACTGCTCCTGTGTGATACTAATAAAAAGCCCTAGAAACGCTAAAAAAACTTTTTCTACACAACAGTTTGTAATTCATACAACAAAATAAGGCGGTTAGAAAGTGTAACTCAATTTTGCATAGTAAGACTAAGGGAATAATGCGGACCCCTCGCTTACCATAAACCAGTGTTTGAACACCAAAACGGATTTGTAATAATAAAAACTCGGTAAAATTTGAATCATACACCTGTTGTCAAGCATTTTTCAAGCTGCACACATACACACAAACAAAATCAAAATCTGTAGATCAGACCATAAGATTACACTCAAACAGGTTGGACTTGTTGAAGTTTGCTTTTTTCACCTACATTGTTTGAGCCACACTCTTCTAACTTCCCCATGGGCGGTGTCAAACTTCATCAAAGGCAGGGACAAGCATGTTTGTGTGGCACGTGAGTTGAGCATGTTGACACAGACAAGACAAGCTGTGCCCTGAAGGTTTTTTAAGAACACTTACCGTAACACCACTGAACCGGTGCATCCAACAACAGCAAAATTGTGTGACCAAACAACTCCTGAAAGAAAAGTTTGCGACTGTTAATTACACTGCAGTTTCCTCAGAAAGCACTGGTTGAGAAGAAGTTATTCCATCGAGAACTACAAACTAAACACACGTTTCACTGTACAAATCCAGTATTAGGGTCGATGTGCAAAGAGTTTAGGAGGCCTTCAGATAAAACACAACAATAGATATCCCCCACTAATTAGCCGAATAGCTTCTCTGAACACATCTATGTCTGTTGAAGATTTATCCACAACAACAGCATTATACACCTCCCATCGAATGTTCAACATCTGATACAAGCATCTGATGTAAATCCTTTGTGTCTTCATGATTCGATGCAAGAGGAGAGAGGAAGACATATAATACCATTCCAGATCTCTTCTATAGATTAACCTCTCGGCTGAACAGAAATCACACTTGTTAGCACATTGCTCTCCTTATCTCTCTCCATGTGGTGTTCTCCTCTTAAGACTATCTTGATACACTCTTCTTCTCCTCTGGCATTCAATAGCCTGCCAGTGGGGACAAAGAAAAAAAGACATGGGATGAATTTCCTTCAGCTCCAGCCGTGTATCTGCAGCAAGAGCGAGTGAGCAAAAAATGCAAGTCCCTTCGTGCTCCTGTGGGAACGAGCGGATCCCCAACACCTCCAACTGCTTTTTGCCTCCCTATGCAGAAACACAAATCACAGCATTTGAGTTTTGCGGATAACATACAGGAAGACAACAGCCCAATCTATTAATTCCTGATCCAAGCTAACTCTCCAATCCATCCTGTTCACCTCTCACCATTTTACCTCCTCCCTCGTCTACATCTATATCTCCCACATTCTCATCCTAGCAGCTCTCAAGTATTGTTAAACAGATCCCTGCATCAATGAATTCGACTGACTGCATCACCAGCCTCTGCTTTCATTCGCTGCCCCCTCCTTCCTTCCTCTCTCTTTCCTCGTTATCACTGCCCTGCCCTCCTCTTCACCCACCTCACCCACATCCTGCAGTTCGACCCCCTTCGCAACTACGTCCCATTTCCTCACTTTGCAGGCTCAATAGCTATTAATTCTGCAATAAGACTGCAGAGCAAGCACTGGCAGACAGGCAGATGTGAACGCCAGACATGAGGAAGAGGACTAGAGCAGCATTTGGAGGACCTATTGATCACTTACAGGCCTCTGAAGGAGGAAGACATTTGTTTCTAAACAAAGCGCGAGTGCAACGGATGATGCAACTTACACTGATGAACCCATTTATGATTAAAATAGAAGGAGAGAATCAGTAAGGGGTAAAATAAAGGGTTTGCAGAAAACAAAAGTATATTGTCCACTACTCCATGTAAATCAGCCTTTTTAAGAAACACTAAACTATGGAAGAGATGTGACACATTAGTTATATTTATTTTTATACAGCCTGCTTTGGTACTATAGGCCACCTAATGGACTTACAAGAACAAGAGCAAAGAAATAAACACCTCAGTGCTTTTCATCTCCAGACATAATTTATCAGCAGTGATTTTTTTTTGTTCTATGTAAATCTAACTTCATCATTACACAGCTCACAACAGTGATACAGTTTTATCTTTACGAAAATAAATATCCCTTGCTAAGATTTCAGTAGTATATTCAACACAAAAAGCACGGCACAATTCGTCCAGACTATAAAACTAAATAAAAATACAGAAAAAACGAAAAATAAAAACAAGAACAAAAACAGAAACACGAGACCAAAAAAGATAAAAAAAGACAAATTAACATGGGGGGAACGCGCACCCCCACCCGCCTCACCCACTAAACACCCTCCCCCCAGGCGCTGCGCCCCCCCCTCTACCCCCCAGAGCCTTCACAGCGACCCCTGCCCCGCCCCTCACCCCCCACCCCCTACTCCTCTCACCTGGCCAGCCCGACCCAAGAACCCGCGTCCCCCTCTCGCCACCCCCCCCCCGCCCCCCGCCCCCAAGATCCTCGACTACCGCCACCCCCCGTTCACCACAATCCTGCCCCCACCCACCCCGACGCCGCCGCCCCCGAAACCCCCGCCACCCGGCCACAAGACCCGCCCCTGACCCCCACCCTGCCGCCTCCCCCCGCTCCGCCCGATCCCGGACCCCCACTCCCACCTCACTCGCCCCAGTCCCGACTCCCCTCCCCACCCGACCCCCCCGCCCTACCCCCTGCTGCACCCCCAACCACCCCCCATGCCCTCCAGTCCGCCCTCCTCCCCACGCCCCCCGCCCCCAACCGCCCACCGGCCGACCCCAACGGCAGGCTACCGGACCCTCGCCTACCCCCCCCCCGTCCCCTACGGTCCCCCCCTCCCCGGCTCCCCACCCCCTAACCCCCCCCGCTGCACGGCCGACCCCCGTTGCGCCTCCCACCCTCCCCCCACGACCCTCTTCCTCGCAACTCCCCCAGGCCCTTCCGCCCCCCCACCCTTCACCCCGACCACCTCCCCCCCCCCACCCCCCGCACAGCACTACCCGACGCCAACCCCCCCACCTCCGTCGTCCTCTCCTTCGCCGCCGCTCACCCCCCCAATTCCCAACCCCCACCGCACCCCCCCACACACACCCCAATCACTACACCAACCCCCCCACCCTACCCCTCCCACCCGCTCTCAACACTCCCCCGCCGCCCCCCCCCACCCCCCCGCCCCCCCCCCACACACACCTTCGCCTCACACCCCCCCACAACCTCACCCATCCCGCCCCACACTCGCTGACACCCCCCCCCCCGCCCCCCCCCCCCCCAATCCACCCTCCGCCCACCCACCCTACCCCCCTCCCCCTCCCCCTCAGCCTCCCCCCCCCTCCCCCACCCAAACCACTCACCCGCTCCACACCCCCCAACCTACCGACCCCCCCCCTCCCTCGTCCCCCCCCCCTCCACCCATCTCCCTCGCCCCCCCCCCCCCGCCCCCTCCCCCCCCCCTATCGCCCTACCCCCCCGTCGCCCCCCCCCCTCCCCCCTCGATTACGCACCCCGACCACCCCCCTAGATCCCTCGTTCCCCCCATCCCTCTCCCCCGACGATTCCCCCACACCCCCCCTCCCTCCCCCTCCCCTCCCCCCCAGCCACCCTACTCCCCCCTCCCTTCACCCCCCCATCCCCCGTCCGCCCCCTACATTTCCTCCCCCCCCCCCACCCCGTAAACCCCTGGCTTGTTGGACGCGCCCACCCCCCCGCCGCCCCCTCCCCCCACCACGTAGCCCCCCCCCCTCTCCCCCCAACACCTTCACCCCCCCCTCCCCGCCCCCCCGCACCCGACCTTCACCGCCACCCCACCTCTCCGTCGCCCTCCCCTACCCCACCCCTCCAAGACCCCTATCATACCCTCCACCTCCCCCCCCTCCCCCCCTCCCGCCGCCCTACCCCCACCCGTACCTCCCACCTCCGCCCTCCCCGCCCCCTGCCCCCGGCCCCTTTCCCTTCTCCCCCACCACCACCCTCCGCCCCCGCCCCCGTACTCCCCCCCTCCTCGACCTCCCCTCAACTCCCACCACCCTTACAACCCCCCACCCCCCCCCCCACCCCGGCCTCCCCACTACCACCAACCCCCCTCCCCACAGGCCTATCCGCTCCCACCTCGTAGTAGCCTACCCTCCGCCCGCCCACCCCCCCCCAATCCGCCCCCCACCTCCCCCCCCCAACCCACTCCTCACGTCTCCCCCCGCCTCGGGCCCCCCCCTCTCCCCCTCCCTCGGCCCCACCCCGCTGCATGCACCCCAACCCACCCTTCGCTACCCCCCTCTCGCCCCCCCCCTCAAACCGCCCCTTCTCCCGGCCTCCGCACCCCCCTTCACCCCCCCCCGCCCCCCCCCCCGCGCCCCCCCTTCCCCCTCCTCCCCCCATCCCCCACCCCCGCCCCCCCAATTACCCCCCCACCACCCCACCCACCCCCTCCACCTCCCTCCTCCCCTCCGCCTCCCTCCTCCACACCCACCCCCCCCCCCACCCCCCCGCCCTAGGGTATATACCCATTCTCCGCCCCACCAAACACATATAAACCCCCCCAAGCTCCCTTGCCCCCCCCCCCCCCCCCCCCCCCCCCCCTCTCCGCCTCTGCCCCACATCCTCCCCCCATCCTATCACACTCCTTCCCCGATGCCCCCCCCCCCATCCTCTCCGCTCGCTGCGCGATTCACTCGCCCCCCCCCCCCCTTACGCCCCCCACCCTCCCCCCCCCCCCCAACCCCTCGCCCCCCCATCCTCCTCCTCCGCCCCCCCGCCACGCCCCGCCCCCCCACCCCCTCCTTCCGCCCCTCCCCCCGGCCCCCCCCCGCTCACCCACCCTTCATACCATTCCGCCCCCACCGCCCCCCCCCCCCTCTCCCCCCACCAACCTCACTCTTCCCCCCACCCCATCTTCCCCCACCCCGCACCCCTTCCAAAACTTCAAGCCCCCCACCCCCCACCCAGTCCCCTTCCACCCCCCCCTGCCCCCCGCCAACGCACTTCCCCTTTCGCCCAACACTCCCTCCCGCCTCCCCCCCCCTTCCCTCCGCACCCTCCTCCCCCCCACCTCCCCCCACCGGCCATCCATCTACCTTCCCCTCCCTAGCCCATCTCTGCCCCCCCCCCACTCCCCCTTCACCCCCACCCCCCCCCCCGTGCACCCTCGCACCCCCCCGCCCCACGCCGCGCCCGCACTCCCAGCCCACCTCTCGTGCACACCCGCCTCCCCCCCCCTCCATACTCACCATCCCACATCCCCCCCCTCATCTCCCTCGCCACGACCTCCCCCCCCCCCGATCCTCCCCTCGTCCTCCCCCCCCCGCCCTCACCCCGCTCACCCCCCTGTCCCACCCTCATACACCCCCACATCCCCTTCCCCCCTCTCCCTCGTCTCCCCCCCCACTACGCCCCGCCCCCTTCCGTCCCCTGGTCTCCCCCCCCCCCTCCCCCCGCCCCGCAAGCCCTCCCACCCCTGCCCACCCCCTCCCACCTCCCCCTCCCCAGCCCTCCCCACCCCACCCCCGTTCCCCGTCGCCCCCCACCCTCACCTCCTACCCTACCCTCCGCCCTACGCCCCCCCCCGCCGCGCAACCCACACCACTGCACACCCCTCCCCCGCCCCCCACCCCCCCGCCCCCCCCACCCATACGCCCCCCCCCAACTCCTCTACGCTCCATCCCCTTCATCCAAACCCAATCCCGCCACCACCCCCGCCCACCCTCCCAACCCTCCCGACCCCTCCTCGCTCCCGATCGTCTCCTGCCTACCCCCCCCACTCCCCCCCCACAACATTTCACACCCCCCATGTGCCCCCCCTACCCTCCTGCCACATCCACCCCCCTCCCCCCACCCCCAATCCCCCCCCCCCCCCCCCCAACCAGCCCCCCCCGCCCTCCCCTCTCCCGCCCCCCCCCCACCCTCCACCCCCCCCCGCTTGCTCCCCCCCCCCCCCCCCGCTCTTCCACCGCCCTGTGGCCGACCATCCGACCCGCCCCTCACCCCCTTCCCCCCAAAGCCCATCACCTACCCCCCGCCGCCCCTCGCCCTCCCACCCTCCCCCGCCCCTGCGCGTCCCTCCCACCCCCCCCTATACCCGCCCCCCTCCTCCCTCCCATCCCGGTCGCGACCCCTAACGCCTCTTCTCCTCATACGCCAATACCACCCCGCCCCCGCCCCCCTCTCCCCCCTCCCTATGCTCTCCACCCCGCCCCCCTCCCCCTCCCCACCCCCAGCTGCCCCCCCAACCCCCCACGACCACATGCCCGCTCCACCCCCCCCAGCACCGCCACTCCCCCCCCCCTCGCGCCCACCCTCCCACCCCCCAGCACCCACCCCCCTCCCACTCCCCCACCTCCACCCACCCCCCCCCCCCCCGCGGACGCGTCCCCCCCCTTCCTCGCCCCCTCCCCACCCAGGTCGCCCCCTTAGCCCGCCCCACCCCTCGACCCCCCACCCCCCCCCCCGCTCCCCCAACCTCAATCCCCCGCCCAACCCCCTAACACCTCGCCCCCCCACCACACCGTCCCCCCGACCCCGCCCCCTCCCCCCCCCGCCCTCCCCCTCCTACCCCCACGCGGATCCACCCGACCCCACTCTCGCCAAATAAAACGCCCTCCCTTCATCTACCCCTCTCCACCCACCCCCACCCCACCGGCCGCACCCCCCCTACCGGACACTCCCACCCCCGCCCCCACCTCCTCCCCCCTCGCCCCCCCCACGCCCGCCCTCCCGGCCCGCGTGTGTGTCGGCACCTCCGCCCTTTCTCGCCCACCAGTCGCCCACCACCCTCCCCCATCCTACCGCCTATACCGCCAATACTTCCTCCCCCACCCCCGCCCCTCCACCCCTAGGCATCCTCCAGCACCCTTTCCCCACAACGCCTCCTATCGACCGTCCGGCTAGTTTTTGGAATTTTTACCCTCCCCGCCCCCCCCCGCACCCCCCAACACCCCCCATCACCTCATCCACCTCCCACCCCCCGGCCCCACCCCGACATGTACCACCCCCGCCCCACCCCTCCCCCGCCACTCCCTCACCCCCAAACCCCCCCCCCCTAGCCCCCTCCCAACCACCTCCTCCGTGACCTCCCCCTCATACCCCAATATTTTCCCACCCCCATCCCTCGTCTTCCCCAACGCCCCCCTCCCCTTCAACCCCCCCCAACTCCCCTTTCTCCCCCCTCCGGAAGCCCCCCCCACACCCCCCCCGTCTCCCCAGCTCATCGCCCCCCGTCTAACCCCCCCTTTCCCCCCCCCCACAGCCCACCCCTCGCCCCCCCCCCGCCCACCCCCCCCCCCGACCCACTCCGACCCTGCCCCCGCCCCCCCCCCCCCCCCCCCAGGCCCATGCCCCGCCCGCCCCAGCCCCCCCCCCACCGCGCCCACCCCCCACCCTGCACTCCGCTCTCTGCCACTCGGTTTCCCCGCACCCGTAGACCCCTGCCCCCCTCCCCGCTCGCGACCTACGGCCTGACCCCCCCGGCCGCCCCCACTTCACCCCGCCCCCTTCCCCGGTAACCTTCACCTCGCGCCCCCCACCGCCCCCCCACACGCTTGTACATCCGCCCGCTCTCCAGCCAACCACTAGCCTCCCCTTCACCCACCCCCCCCTTTTCACTGTACCCCCCTTGCACCCCCCCCCCCCCCAGTCACCCACCCCAGCCACGCCCCACCCCCTCCCGCCACTCCCGTCCCCTCCAGCCATTCCCCCATCCACTGACCCCTGCCCCCGCTCGCACCTCCGCCCTACGCCCCCTTCCGCCCCCGCGCCTCTCTACCCCCGACCTGCCCCCCCCCCCCCCCCCCCCCCCTTTGCCCCCCCCTCCCTATCCCCCCCCCCCCCAACCACCCCCGCTCCCCCTCCCCACCCCATGACCACTCCACCCAGCCACGGCACCCCGCCCTCCCCCCTCACCAGTCCCCCCTCCACCCTCCCTACCCCCCACAACACCAGATCCCCCCCCCTCCAAACCCCCCACCTCCCGCGCCCCACCCCTCCGCCTCCCATACCCCCGTCCCCCACACTCCCCGCCCCCCCTCACTGCCCCCTCGCCACCCCAACCCGCCCCCACCCCCCCCCCCCCCGACCGTCACACCCTACCCTCCCCACCTAACCCCAACGGAGGCCAGCCCCCCCCCCCCCCACCCCCCCCCAGACCGACCACCCCGGCTCGCAACCGTCGCCCCAACCCTCCTCCCCTCCCCACACCCGCCTGCCCCCAGACCCTGATCACTGCCGGCCCCGACCCGCCATCGCCCGATCCCCCCCCCACTCCCGCCCCCCTCGCCAGTCCACCGCGAGCCCGCCCGCCCTCCCCTCGCCGTTGGCCCGTGTACCACATACTAGCCGACCCCCCCCCCGCACCCCCCTTTGCCCGCGTCGGCCCTCGCTCCCAGACCCCCCTGGCCCCCCGCATGACCCCGCCCGCTCCCCTCTCGAGACCTCCGCTGCGACGCGCCACCCCACTACGCTACCTCCCTCTACCCCCTCCTCGCAGCCCCCCCGTCTCCGCGCCATTCGCAGGCACACCCCGTCGTTAGGCCATTCGCCCCCACGCCGCCCCGTCCCCCCACAGGCCGCCCTCTTGGCTACCTAACCTCCCCCCCCCGAACCCCTCCGGCCACACCCCCCCCGTCCCGCCCAACCCCCCCCCCCCGCCCCCCCACCGCGCGCCTCGTACTCCTCCCCATGAATCCCCTCCACCCCCCCCGCACTCCACGGCCGCGCAGGGGCCGCCCCCACCCGTCGTACTCGGCCCGGACGCTAGTCGAAGCCCCACCCCCTCCTCCCACTGCCCTCCTCCCCCCCCGCCCCTTGCCCCCCCGCCCTAGCCAAGCCGGTCCGCCGCCCGTCCTTGCTCTCGGTGCACCCCCCCCCCGGAGTCCCTCCCGCCCACCGATACGCCGCCCCCTCGACCGTTCCTAGCCCGCGACCACCATCCCCCCCACGTGCGTGCCGTCTCGCCCGAACGGCCTCGCCCCCGCACCTCCTTGGCGCCCCCCCTCCACTCCCCCCTCCGCCGCGCCCCCGTCGCGCCACCTAGCGGCCCCCCTCCACAGTCACCCCGCGCCCCCCCCACTCCCCGCGACGCTAGGCCCCCCTCCCGCCCACCCCGGCCCCACCCGCGGCCAGCCCCCTCTTGCCCCGCCGCCAACCGCAAGCACGGGCCGACCGTGCGCCCCACCGTGCCACTGGCCCACCCCCCCGGCGGCCAGCCCCCCGTCCCCGTCTCCCCCCCTGCCGCCACGCCGCCGCCTAGTGCCGGCCGCCTCCACCATCGCCACCCCGTCACCGTCCCCCCGCGGCGCCCCCCCGTCCACACCCCCCCTCCCCGGTACGCGGAAGGCCCCGTCCGGGCCCCCCGCCGGCAACTGCGTCCGCCCCGACCCGCCCCGGCACCGGCCCTTGCTCCCCGGCTCCCAAGACGGGATGCGTCCGACACCTGCCTACTGCCCCCCCCTACGCCGACCCCGCCCGTATCTTCGGGCCCTACTGGGGAGGGGGGGGGAGGTGGGGGTCCCCCTCCCGCGAGTGCGCCTCCCCCAGCCCTCCACCCCCCCCCGCCAGGTCCCCGGGACCCGACGCCGATCGGTCCCCCACGGCACCGGGTACCAGGCCGCCATAGGTCTGCTCCCCTCCCCGCCGAGCCCCACGGCCGCGGGGCCCAACCGCCCCCCCCGCATGTTCCGCCCACCAACTGTCGCGTGATCCCCCCGGGCGCGGCGCGCCCTACCCCTCTGCCAGGGGCCGCCAGGCGGTCCCGCGACTACGCCCTCCCCCCCCCCGGCAAGTGGCCGGGAAGGCCGCCCCACGCTGCCACCCCCCCCCCCCACTCCCCCTGGCACCCCGCTGCTCGCGGGCGTGGCCCTGAGCGCCGCTCCTCCCCCCTCGTCCCCACCGGCGCTCCGTCCCGCCGCACCCCGGCGGGGCGTGCCAGCACCCCCCCCCCCCGCCCCCGCCCACGCCCCCTTCCCGCCCCCCGCCCCCGGTCACTAGCCTGGGAGGGCCCCACTGGTCATCCCCCCCGCCGAGGAGATCCCAGAGCCCTCCCCCAAAGCCGCTCTTCTCGACCTCCCCCCCCGCGAGGCGGCCCCCCCATCCTTTGGTGGGCGGCCACCACCCCCCGCGCCCCGAGCCGCGGTCACCTACCACCCCCCCCCCCCCCCGCGCCTCCTGCGCACACGCGCACCCCCCCAGCCCCATTCCTCGCCCACCGTCCGTCCCCATCTGCCCCTCGCCTGCCGCCCCGCCGGAGCCAGCCCCCGAGGCCCCGGTAGTCGCCCCCTCCGCCCACTCCGGCGTTCTGTTTCGCGTGCCCACCGGGCGGGCGGCCCGCGCGGCAACGCATCTGCCCCCCCGTGATCCCCAGGGCACGCGCCGGCCACGCGGGCAACCCCCCCTCGACCGGCGCCCGCCGACCGCCGCGCCCGACGAGTCGCTCCACCGCCCCAGCAGCGGAGCTGGCCCCGCTCGCGCCCTGGCGCCCCGTCGGGACGGCCCCGCCATGGGGCCCGCACGCCCCCCACACCGGCCCCCGGGGGTGTGGGGCACCCCCCTCGACCCCCGTTGCGCTCCCTTCCGCCCCCTGCCGCCGCCGCAGGTGCCCGTTCAACGCGGGCGCCCTCCGCCCCCGCAACGCCCCCGCCGGTGACAAGTCCTCGCCCCTAGCGGCGTGCGCCCCACGGAGCGCCGCCCGGCCCTATCCGCACCCCCGGCAACACCCCGTCTTCGCCCGGACGGCGCCCGCCCTCGCCTCCCGCCGGGCCCCCCGCGGGCAGCCGCGCCCGCTCGGTGCCCCCGAGCCCGCACACCAGTCGCGGCGTCACCGCCCCCGGGCGGGGCTCCCCTCCCCCCCTCCCGCCGCTGCCCTGCCCCCGCACTAGGTCGCCCGCCCGCCACCGTCCCGCCCCTCGCCCCGTGCGCGCCCGCCCGCCCCCCTGGGGGGGGCGCTTCTCCGCGCTCGCTCCAGCGACTGGTATCTCCCGACCACTGCACCCCCCCCGGAGCGCGGTTCCAGGCCTCACCAGCCGTGTTGCCGGCCCCTCCCCGTGGCGCCCCCCCCCCCGCCCGGGCCCCGGCCGAACCCGCCGGCTCGACCTCCCGGACCAGGCCCGAGCCTGCCCCCCGCCCGCCCCCGCCGCCCCGCTCCCTGCCCCCGCCAACCACGGCCCCCTGTCTATCTGCGCCCCCGCGCCCCACCCGACGCCGCCATCAGACCGCCGGGTCCCTGACGCGCCTCGCCCCCCCCCCCCGCGCCCGCCAACCGCCCCCGAGCCTCCCGCCCGCCCACGTCCGGCCGGCGCCCCACGGCCCCTCTCCGCCGCCTCGTGTCCCCGTACCGCCCCACCCGCCCCCCGCTCCCCAGCCCCCGCCCTCGAGACCGCCCTCAAGCGGTCCCGGCCCCCGCGCAAGCCGGCCCCTCGCCCTCCCCCTGCCCCTTCCCCTCCGTCCCGCCTAACGCCGAATCCCTCCCCCCTCGGTCACGACCCCCCCTCAACCACCCCCCTGACGCCACGCTCACCGGTCCCGCGCCTGCGTCTGTCCCCCCTCCCGGGCGCCTCGCCTCCCGCGGCATGGCTCCTCCCGGCGGCGCGGCGGGCCCGGCACCGCGCCCGAGCACCACGCCCCACGTCCCCCCCCGAGGCCCCGACGCCCGCCCGTTCGCCAGCTGCGCGCCTCCCCCAGTGCCCCTCTCCCCCCCCTCGTGGCCCACTCCTGCGCCCCGGGTCCCCCCCCGCCACCCAGACCTCCACCATCCCCCGGGCACCCCGCTCGACCCCCCCACGCACCCTGCCTACCCTGCCCCGCGGGGGCCCTCCACCCCCACTGCACTATCCGCGCACCCGCCCACCGCGCCGGCCCCTCCCCCCCGCCCGGATGTTGCGGACCCACCGGCCCCCCCCCCCCCCCGACTGTCCCTCCCGTCGGCGCCCTCCTCCGCCTGCGGCTCTGCACCATGCTGCGTCCCGAGGGTTACCACACCCCCCGCCCCCGCCCCCCCCAACCCCCTCCCCCCGCACCCGCGGCCGCCTCTCTCGGGCCGCCCCGTAGCTCCGGCGCTCCCCCCGGCCCCGGCCCCCCCCCCCCCGTCGTCCTCCCGCGCTGATATCCGCCCCCCCCCGCGTCCCCCGCGTGGTACCCCTTCCCTCGGCCCCGCCGCGCCTACAGCGCCTGGGGGGCGAGGCGACCCAGTCCAGCTGCCCAACCCAGCGCCCATCCTCGCCACGCTCTCCCGCCCCCCCCCTTCCCGCGCCACCGATCCACTCCCGTCCCCAACCACCCCCCCTGGTGGCCCGCCCCCCTCCCCTCCCCTCCCCCGCACTCACGCATCGCCCGCCCCCTGCCCTCCCTCCCTCCCACCCCGTCCACACCCGCCACGCCCCGCGTTCAATCCAGCGTCCCCCCGACAGCGTGTCTTCCGGCAACCCGCGCCCCGCACGCCATCCCCCCCCCCTGCACCTCCCCAGCCACCTGACGCCGACACACCCCGGCCCCTGGGGACCCAAGACCCCACCGCCTCCACAGAGCTCGCGTCTGTCCGGCCACTGCAACGCCCCACGATTCCACTCCACCACCCCTCCGGCACTCCCGGCCCCCCACGCCCCTCCCCGCGACCGCCCATAGATCCCGCAGGCGCTCCCCGCCGTCATCCTGACGCCCTCCGATCCGTCCCCCCCCGCGCACCCCGGCTGCTCCCTATCGGGGACCCCCTCCCCGGCTTCCCGGCCCCCCGGCTCCCTCCCCCGCCAGCGACCACCGCGACCCCCCCCCCCCACACTATCCGACCCCCCACCGTCCACCGACGCCCCCCCGTCACCCGCCGCCCGCTCGTTTCCTCCCCGCCTGTCCGCTGCCCCGCCCAACAGGGTAGCACGCCGCCCCCGACCCCCCCCACCGCCCCTCCGCCTACTCCCGCCGCGCCGCCGCGCCCGCGATTCCGCCCCCCCCCTCCCTCGCCGAGGCCCCTCATGGGGGGAGGTCGTTGCCCCCGCTGTGCCCCCCCCCCCCCCCTTCCACCGGCGCCCACGCCCCCCGCCCGCCGGGCGGCGACCCCCACTCCCGCCCTCGCGCATCGCGTCCCGGCCTTGTGCCGCGGCCACCCACCCCCCCCACCCCGCCCCCACCACCGGGCACCCAACCGCGGCCCATCTGCCGGGATCGCCACCTTGCCCCGGTCGACCCGACCGTCTAGGGTCCGCCCCCCCCCCGCCGGGCCCCCCCCGACTTACCCGCCTGGCGCCCACGGCCGCTCTCGGGGCCTCCCCCCCCGGCCAAGGTCCCCTTGACACCGCCCACCGGTCGCCCGCACGCACGACCCATTGCGCCGCAACGGTGTGGCGGCCCGCACGCCTGCCGCCGTGCGCCGTCCACCCGGGACCACGTAACCCCCCCCCTCCGGCCCGGGTCCGACCCCCACCCCACCGCTCGGGACCCGCCCCCCCAGGCCACGAGAGCCCCCCCCACCAGCTCCTTTCCTCCCACACGGACAGCTCCTCCCGCGCGGATGACCCGCGCCCCCCCCTGACGGTCTCCGGCCCCTTGCAACCCGCGAGCGCCCACCGTCGGTCGAGTAGGCCCCCGCCGCCCCCCGCCCATCCCCCCGGGCCCCCGCCCGCGCTATCCGACCCGCCTACGCTCCCCGCTTCAGCCCGAGCCTCCCTCGCTGCCCATCGCGTTCAACGACCTGCACCGAACCCCACCCTCAGAATCCCCAGGCCGGCGGCGCCGCCGCTCCTGCCTTGCACCACCTCCCGCCCCGCACCCCGGGCCCGCGGCCGCCCCCGCGTGTCTTTCTCCCCTCCCCCGCGCTCTTGGGTCCCGCGACCCCCCTGGACGCCCGCTACCCGCCCCGGGGCCCCACCCGGCACCCGGCCGCGCCTCGTCCCATGCCGCCCGTCCTAACCAACCTGCGCCTCCCAGCGCGCCGCGCGTCGAGACTGGCCCCGCCCGGCGCTCCCTACCCGGGCCCGTCCCCCTGCCGGCCCTGGCGGACGGGCCGCCCCGGGTCGAGCCGCGCCCGCCCCGGCACAACCTCGGGTTCCCTGCCTGCCCGCCCCCCCCTCCCATGCTGCACGGTAGATGGGGCATCCGCTGTCGTCGCCCGTCGCTCCCCCCCCCGCCCGCCACTCGAGCCCGTGGCACACGGGCCGACACGACCCCGTCGGGCACCCCGCGCACCGCCAGCGCCCACGGAGACGAAGGAGGGTCCGCGCCACTGCCCGGCGTCGGCCCGGCCGCTCCACCCCATTCCAATCTACGGGTGTGGGGCCGCCGCGCACCCCCCGACCCCCCTTGCACCTGGCTGATCCGCCCCTTCGGCGCAGCCTCTCGCCCCACGCCGGCCCGCCCCCCCCCCAATTAGCGCCCCCGCACCCCCCGGCCCACCAATGTCTCATGGACCTAGGCCCGCATGCACACGCGCGTGCCGCCCGGCTCCCCCCGCCCCAGTCCCCGAGCCCGCCCCCGTCCTAGTGACCGCATGGTGGCCTCAGGAGCGACCACCCGCGCGCTCTCGCTCGCTGCCCCTCTACCGCCTCCCCCAGCCTCCTCGCCCCCGTCCACCACGCCGTGCGGCCGCGACGAACCCCCGGCCCCTCGCCCCCAGGCCATTCCCCATGCCGGAGACCGCACGCACCCCCCCCGCTACTCGGGCTTCGCCCCCGCCCACCGCCGGATCCTCATCCCTAAGCCAACACCAGGCGGGGCCGGTCCTCTCAGCTCGCCTCCCCCCGGCCAGCGCGGCGCTGCCCTTCCCCCATGGCGGCGCCAGAGCCCCGCCTCCTGCAGTGCACCCCCCAATCCGTCCGCGCCCTCGACGTGCACCCCCGCGACCCCGAACATTACCCGGACCCCGCGGAGGACCGGGCGCCCCCGCCCGGCCACCCCCAGGCCCCGCCCCCGCTCCGCGTGGTTGATGCGCCGGGGCCCAACGGGGGCCCGCCGGCCGCCTGCTAGTCCCCCCCGCGGCGCCCCGAGCCGGCACGACCTGCCAGCCCCACTCTACCACCGCCCATCGCTCCAGCGCCCCGGTGGCGCGACACAGCGCACCCACCCATCTCTCTCCGGACCCTCTGCCCCGCCCCCGTGGCCCCCATCCCCCGCCGCTCCCCGCCCCCCCAAGCGCCGGCCAGGCCGCGCCGCCACCCGAGGGGCCGCCCTGCCGCTCCCCCCCCCCGCTGCGCCCGCTCGGTCCCCCAGACTGTCCCCGCGCACGCCCATCCCGGGCGGCCCCCCCACACCCTGGAGCCCCGTCCAGCCCCCTCAGGGCAGTCGCTTGCCCGCGCCCACCGGCCTGCCCTCGACAATCGCAGCTCCACCGCTGAGGGCGCAAACACCCCCGCGCGCACCGAGCCGACTCCACCCGCCGTCCACACGCGCCACCCCTCCCCCACCCCCGCCCTTTGATCCCCCCCATCCGAGACTCCCCCCCCGCGCGCCTTGCCGGCCGACCCCCCCCACACCGTCTCCCGGGCCGCGGAACCCGCGCCTTGCCGCTCCTGCATCGGCTGCCCTCCCCCACGCTAGCCGGAGCCTGATCACCCTCCGCCGCGCACACACGGGCCCGCTCGCGGGAGGGTTGGGCGACCCCCCCCCCCCCCACTCCGCCGACCGACCGCAGCCTGCGTGCCCACCGTCCGCCGTGCGCCAGGCCGAGCCAAACCTCGCCCCCCCCCCCTCGACCCCCACCGCGGCGGTGATGCCCCGGGGCGGCCCCTGGCCTCGAGGCCGCCGCCTCCTCCATGCGCTCCCCCCCGGTATGCCCCCCCTGACAGTGTGAGAACTCCACGCGGGCCGGTGCCCATCCGGGCACGGTCCACCCCGGCGCGGACGACCACCGGCCCGGGCGGCGCGACCCCCCACGCCCCCGCCAGCAGGTGACCCCCATCTCCAGCGCCGTCCGGGCCCCGCCACGGACCGGTTCGGTGGGGCACCACCCCCGTCGCCGCCCACCGCTCGGCCCCCTGGCCTGTGCCCCCCCGCGCCGGCCGCCGCGGCGGACGCCGGCCCCCACACCCCCCTCACCTTCCCAGGGTGCACCGCGCCCCCTGTCCCGTCCCCGATCCACACTGCTCGCTACCACGTTCCCCTTCCGCCCTAACCTTGCGTGCACACCGCCCCCGCCCTCCACCTCCTCCCCAGCTCTCCCCCGGTGCACATCGACTTCACCCTCTCCCGACTCCGCCCCCCCCCGGCTTGGCCCCGACCTGGCCCACCACCCGATTCCGGCTCCCCCGCGCCCCCCTTGGCTCCTCTCCCCCCTTGCGGGCGCGCGCCCTATCCCGTGCTACCCCCCCGGCCGCTGGATCGGCGCCCCCCCCCCACCCACACCCCTCCTACCCAACAGCGGTGTGCCCCGTCCCTGCCCCACGTCACCCGCGCCCCACCTCCCGGTCGCGGGTTGCCCCCCCCTCCGCCCCACGTCCTTCTGTCCCGCGCCCGGCCTCCTCGGCACCATGGTCGGTACCGCGCCTCCGGTCCAAGTCGCCCCTGCCATGGCGCTGCCCGCCAACCTTCCGGACATAGCGCGCTACCCGGGTGACCCACGGTGCCCGCCGCAGGACTTCCAGTGGCCCCCTTCCGCGCCCCCCCCTGGCGCTCAACGCTCCCGCCCCGCCCGGCCCGCTCCCTAGTGCGTTGGTGGCCTCAGATCTCACCTTTCCCCCCGCGGCCTTCCAACCCCTCAGCCCCTGGCCCCCCCCTCCCTCCCGGCCCCATCCTCCCTTACCCCCATAACCCCCCCTAAACCCGACGTCCCATCCGCCCTGAACCTGAAACCCCCTAAAAACCCCTTCCCAGCCCGCCCTTTCCCTAACCCCCTGAAAACACTTGATCCCTTCCTCCCTTACCCTTGAACCCGCCGAAATCCCGGCCCTGCCGCCCGGTCCCGATACCCCCCTGATAATACGTGAGTCCCATCCTCCCTGACACTGTACCCCGAAAACACCGTGCCCTGCCGCCAGGTACAGATAAACCCGATTAAACGGTGGCCCAGCCGACATGTAACGTTTACCCGACCACGTAATACGACCGGTCCCTTGCACCACCGGAGATAACGTTTAAAACGTTTTTAGGTGGCCCAGCCTACAGGACCCCGAAACCCACGTTATACAGGACCTGCATGCCGGTCCCGTATTACAAACGTAAAACCGTGTAACCTGCCGAAAGGTCCACGATTACACAAGTTATCACAGTACCTGCAGAAATGTACCAAATTTAAAACGTTTTTAGGCGGCCCTGCAGAAAGGTAACGTTTAAAACGTTTTTAGGCGGCCCTGCAGAAAGGTAACGTTTAAAACGTTTTAAAGGACCTGCAGAAAGGTAACGTTTAAAACGTTTTTAGGTGGCCCTGCAGAAAGGTAACGTTTAAAACGTTTTAAAGGACCTGCAGAAAGGTAACGTTTAAAACGTTTTAAAGGACCTGCAGAAAGGTAACGTTTAAAACGTTTTAAAGGACCTGCAGAAAGGTAACGTTTAAAACGTTTTAGAGGCCCTGCAGAAAGGTAACGTTTAAAACGTTTTAAAGGACCTGCAGAAAGGTAACGTTTAAAACGTTTTAAAGGACCTGCAGAAAGGTAACGTTTAAAACGTTTTAAAGGACCTGCAGAAAGGTAACGTTTAAAACGTTTTTAGACGGCCCTGCAGAAAGGTAACGTTTAAAACGTTTTAAAGGACCTGCAGAAAGGTAACGTTTAAAACGTTTTAAAGGACCTGCAGAAAGGTAACGTTTAAAACGTTTTAAAGGACCTGCAGAAAGGTAACGTTTAAAACGTTTTAAAGGCCCTGCAGAAAGGTAACGTTTAAAACGTTTTTAGGTGGCCCTGCAGAAAGGTAACGTTTAAAACGTTTTAAGACGGCCCTGCAGAAAGGTAACGTTTAAAACGTTTTAAAGGACCTGCAGAAAGGTAACGTTTAAAACGTTTTAAAGGACCTGCAGAAAGGTAACGTTTAAAACGTTTTTAGGCGGCCCTGCAGAAAGGTAACGTTTAAAACGTTTTTAGAAGGCCCTGCAGAAAGGTAACGTTTAAAACGTTTTTAGAAGGCCCTGCAGAAAGGTAACGTTTAAAACGTTTTTAGAAGGCCCTGCAGAAAGGTAACGTTTAAAACGTTTTAAAGGACCTGCAGAAAGGTAACGTTTAAAACGTTTTTAGGCGGCCCTGCAGAAAGGTAACGTTTAAAACGTTTTAAAGGACCTGCAGAAAGGTAACGTTTAAAACGTTTTAAAGGACCTGCAGAAAGGTAACGTTTAAAACGTTTTAAAGGACCTGCAGAAAGGTAACGTTTAAAACGTTTTAAAGGACCTGCAGAAAGGTAACGTTTAAAACGTTTTAGAGGACCTGCAGAAAGGTAACGTTTAAAACGTTTTAAAGGACCTGCAGAAAGGTAACGTTTAAAACGTTTTTAGGTGGCCCTGCAGAAAGGTAACGTTTAAAACGTTTTAAAGGACCTGCAGAAAGGTAACGTTTAAAACGTTTTAAAGGACCTGCAGAAAGGTAACGTTTAAAACGTTTTAAAGGACCTGCAGAAAGGTAACGTTTAAAACGTTTTTAGGCGGCCCTGCAGAAAGGTAACGTTTAAAACGTTTTAAAGGACCTGCAGAAAGGTAACGTTTAAAACGTTTTAAAGGACCTGCAGAAAGGTAACGTTTAAAACGTTTTAAAGGACCTGCAGAAAGGTAACGTTTAAAACGTTTTAAAGGACCTGCAGAAAGGTAACGTTTAAAACGTTTTTAGGCGGCCCTGCAGAAAGGTAACGTTTAAAACGTTTTTAGGCGGCCCTGCAGAAAGGTAACGTTTAAAACGTTTTAAAGGACCTGCAGAAAGGTAACGTTTAAAACGTTTTTAGGTGGCCCTGCAGAAAGGTAACGTTTAAAACGTTTTAAAGGACCTGCAGAAAGGTAACGTTTAAAACGTTTTAAAGGACCTGCAGAAAGGTAACGTTTAAAACGTTTTAAAGGACCTGCAGAAAGGTAACGTTTAAAACGTTTTTAGGTGGCCCTGCAGAAAGGTAACGTTTAAAACGTTTTTAGACGGCCCTGCAGAAAGGTAACGTTTAAAACGTTTTAAAGGACCTGCAGAAAGGTAACGTTTAAAACGTTTTTAGGTGGCCCTGCAGAAAGGTAACGTTTAAAACGTTTTAAAGGACCTGCAGAAAGGTAACGTTTAAAACGTTTTAAAGGACCTGCAGAAAGGTAACGTTTAAAACGTTTTAAAGGACCTGCAGAAAGGTAACGTTTAAAACGTTTTTAGGCGGCCCTGCAGAAAGGTAACGTTTAAAACGTTTTAAAGGACCTGCAGAAAGGTAACGTTTAAAACGTTTTTAGGCGGCCCTGCAGAAAGGTAACGTTTAAAACGTTTTAAAGGACCTGCAGAAAGGTAACGTTTAAAACGTTTTTAGGTGGCCCTGCAGAAAGGTAACGTTTAAAACGTTTTAAAGGACCTGCAGAAAGGTAACGTTTAAAACGTTTTAAAGGACCTGCAGAAAGGTAACGTTTAAAACGTTTTAAAGGACCTGCAGAAAGGTAACGTTTAAAACGTTTTTAGGCGGCCCTGCAGAAAGGTAACGTTTAAAACGTTTTAAAGGACCTGCAGAAAGGTAACGTTTAAAACGTTTTAAAGGACCTGCAGAAAGGTAACGTTTAAAACGTTTTTAGGCGGCCCTGCAGAAAGGTAACGTTTAAAACGTTTTAAAGGACCTGCAGAAAGGTAACGTTTAAAACGTTTTAAAGGACCTGCAGAAAGGTAACGTTTAAAACGTTTTAAAGGACCTGCAGAAAGGTAACGTTTAAAACGTTTTTAAGGCCCTGCAGAAAGGTAACGTTTAAAACGTTTTAAAGGACCTGCAGAAAGGTAACGTTTAAAACGTTTTAAAGGACCTGCAGAAAGGTAACGTTTAAAACGTTTTAAAGGACCTGCAGAAAGGTAACGTTTAAAACGTTTTAAAGGACCTGCAGAAAGGTAACGTTTAAAACGTTTTTAGGCGGCCCTGCAGAAAGGTAACGTTTAAAACGTTTTAAAGGACCTGCAGAAAGGTAACGTTTAAAACGTTTTTAGGCGGCCCTGCAGAAAGGTAACGTTTAAAACGTTTTAAAGGACCTGCAGAAAGGTAACGTTTAAAACGTTTTTAGGTGGCCCTGCAGAAAGGTAACGTTTAAAACGTTTTAAAGGACCTGCAGAAAGGTAACGTTTAAAACGTTTTAAAGGACCTGCAGAAAGGTAACGTTTAAAACGTTTTAAAGGACCTGCAGAAAGGTAACGTTTAAAACGTTTTTAAGGACCTGCAGAAAGGTAACGTTTAAAACGTTTTTAGGCGGCCCTGCAGAAAGGTAACGTTTAAAACGTTTTAAAGGACCTGCAGAAAGGTAACGTTTAAAACGTTTTTAGGCGGCCCTGCAGAAAGGTAACGTTTAAAACGTTTTAAAGGACCTGCAGAAAGGTAACGTTTAAAACGTTTTTAGGCGGCCCTGCAGAAAGGTAACGTTTAAAACGTTTTAAAGGACCTGCAGAAAGGTAACGTTTAAAACGTTTTAAAGGCCCTGCAGAAAGGTAACGTTTAAAACGTTTTAAAGGACCTGCAGAAAGGTAACGTTTAAAACGTTTTTAGGCGGCCCTGCAGAAAGGTAACGTTTAAAACGTTTTTAGACGGCCCTGCAGAAAGGTAACGTTTAAAACGTTTTAAAGGACCTGCAGAAAGGTAACGTTTAAAACGTTTTAAAGGACCTGCAGAAAGGTAACGTTTAAAACGTTTTAAAGGACCTGCAGAAAGGTAACGTTTAAAACGTTTTAAAGGCCCTGCAGAAAGGTAACGTTTAAAACGTTTTAAAGGACCTGCAGAAAGGTAACGTTTAAAACGTTTTAAAGGACCTGCAGAAAGGTAACGTTTAAAACGTTTTAAAGGACCTGCAGAAAGGTAACGTTTAAAACGTTTTAAAGGACCTGCAGAAAGGTAACGTTTAAAACGTTTTAAAGGACCTGCAGAAAGGTAACGTTTAAAACGTTTTAAAGGACCTGCAGAAAGGTAACGTTTAAAACGTTTTAAAGGCCCTGCAGAAAGGTAACGTTTAAAACGTTTTAAAGGACCTGCAGAAAGGTAACGTTTAAAACGTTTTAAAGGACCTGCAGAAAGGTAACGTTTAAAACGTTTTAAAGGACCTGCAGAAAGGTAACGTTTAAAACGTTTTAAAGGACCTGCAGAAAGGTAACGTTTAAAACGTTTTAAGACGGCCCTGCAGAAAGGTAACGTTTAAAACGTTTTAAAGGACCTGCAGAAAGGTAACGTTTAAAACGTTTTAAAGGCCCTGCAGAAAGGTAACGTTTAAAACGTTTTAAAGGACCTGCAGAAAGGTAACGTTTAAAACGTTTTAAAGGACCTGCAGAAAGGTAACGTTTAAAACGTTTTAAAGGACCTGCAGAAAGGTAACGTTTAAAACGTTTTAAAGGACCTGCAGAAAGGTAACGTTTAAAACGTTTTTAGGTGGCCCTGCAGAAAGGTAACGTTTAAAACGTTTTAAAGGACCTGCAGAAAGGTAACGTTTAAAACGTTTTTAGGTGGCCCTGCAGAAAGGTAACGTTTAAAACGTTTTAAAGGACCTGCAGAAAGGTAACGTTTAAAACGTTTTAAAGGACCTGCAGAA